AAAAAAAGACGTAAATGGAAAATCAAAGTATACAGAAAAACCTGGTAACTCTTATCTGGTTAATAATTTTTAGAAAAAACCTCAAGAACTTATTCAAAAACTCATTATTTATTTATTTTTTAATCATATTATTAAGTTGAAAATAAAAATTAAAAACTAGTTTAAAAAACGGTTTATCACTGTTTGTTTATGACTTTTAAAAATCTACTTTTTTTATGTACTTATATAATTTTTAAATTTTTTTTTGTTTTTACCCCTTTTTTTATTTGTTGTTTACTTGGTGCTTCTTTATATCTTTGATATTAATATTCCTTTTTTTCTGGGAAATTAATTTTATCAATATATATATATATATATATATATATATATATATATATATATATATATATATATATATATATATATATATATATATATATATATATATATATATATATATATATATATATAAGAATCAGGCTAGGTCGGGAAGCGGGAGCGATCGCTCTTGAATATTGACCACGGAAATTATATTTAGTTGCAAAAACTGGACAGGTTTTTCAGTCATTTTGAGAACATTTAAGTTTATGCACGAAACAAAAAATTTTTGTTTTACGGACATACATGGAAACATCAAAAACTTGAATGTTCTCAAAATATCTTGGTTCGAAAGAATAAAAAGAATATTTGCGAACACTAAAAACCCGCCAAATTAATGAACAAACTAATTCTATTGGTTCAAAAAATACGCTGACTAAGCGAAATAAAGTTCTAGAGTATTCTGTTGAAATGTTTTAGAAATTGTATTATTCACGATTTGTTACGTTTTGAGATTTCTAGCATAAATTGTCTTAAGAATATATATTATTTGTTTACAAAAATCAATGTTTTAAATATATATTAATTAAATTGTCAAAATTTTAAAAGCTTATTATAAATTATAGATTTTGTTAGTATATTCTTATTTTTTATTTAAAAAGTATGTATTCTTTATGTAAATGTAATTGTGTGTATCTTTTATCGTAATGTATCTTTTAAAGCAATTTTTATGATTTAAACAAAGATTTGCAAAAATATTTGCGTTTTCAATGAAGTTATAATCGTCAAAGTTAATAAAACTAATTATGTAACAAACATATAAGAAGTTTCTGGTAACTAAACACAAACAATGCATACAAAGTAACTCGCGGATGAACAAGCACCGCGCCTGAGGTCACGACATAACAAACATTTGTAGCAAATAATTAAATACAAAGAAAAGTTTCTAGATATTGGTTTACTAACTCCTATTATTTTTGTTTAAGTTGCCATTCTTAAAACACGTTTTTCTGCTTTAAATACTAATTAAAATTAAAAAGCCCACTCACTAAACATCATCAGCGATATTGTGAAGCAGTTTCGCTTCCTCGTCATTAAGTATATTTAACCTTTTTAGTTGAAATCTATCTTGTTAATTTAATTTCTATAGTAACTCAATGATTTAATTATTTCATTTGTTTATCTCACTAAGAAGAATTGCTTCAAATATGTTAAACTTTTTAAACTACGCGAAGCATAAAATAGGTATTAAAAAAATTAACTTTTTTATTTATAAAATAATTTAGCTTATATAAAACTTTTTTAATAAAAAAATATTTATTTCCTTTTTAAACAATCGCAAGTTGTTACTTTATATAAAAAACATCGCTTAATTTTATAAAAAAAAATTATATTTGTTCTAAACGTAATTTATTTAGCTTTAATTTTTTTTTTTTTGTAATTGTCTCTCATCGGTCCAATTAATCTTTATCGCTTTTTTTTTTGCTTTTAAAAATGTTCTCAAAACAAATAAAAAATCTGGCCAGCTTTTCCCAACTAAATATTATTTACGTGGTCAGCAATTGAGAGCGATCGCTCCTGCTTCCAGACCAAGCCAAGAAAGTTTATGTAAAGAAAAATAAAAAATAATGAAAAAAAGTAAAATTGTATGCTTCCAAAACTAAAGTAACTTTAAAAAATTAACTCAAAACCTTGCTAATTGTACTTGTCTATAAGATTTATTTCTTCAAAATTAGATTAATATCAATAATCAATAGCATATCCTTTGTTTTTTATAACTTTTCTACAACGACATGGCATTGATTCAATCAATTTATGAATTTGTAATTTATTTGCTTCCTGCCATGCTTTTTTAAGCTCGTTGTACAACTAATCAGCATTATTAAATGTTCCTTTCAGTTGGATAGCGTCGCCTAATTGCTTCCAAAGGTTTTCAATGGGGTTGAGGTCTGGTGAATTAGCTGGCCATTTCATTAAACTGATTTGGTTAGTATTAAACCAGGTTTTAATAAGTTTAGAAGCATGTTTGGGATTATTGTCGTGCTGGAATTGCCAGGAATTATCATCAGCAAAAGGAACCATTTGTTTTTCCAAAATATCTTTATATACAAAACGGTCCTTAATGCCGTTGATTTGAAATAATGGTCCTAAACTAGAAAAACCCGAAAAACATCCCCAAACCATCACTCCTTTACCACCACCATGTTTAAAAACAGCTCTTGTATACTTTGGGTTTACTTGCTTGCACTTTGGGCATCTTTTTTTTTTTCATCTGAATGATGCAGGTTAAATTTTGACTCATTACTCCATAAAATGTGACTCCATTGTTCTACTGTCCAATTTTTATGAGCATGGGCAAATTCGAAATAGCTTTTCTATTTTTTTCTGAAATAAACGGTTTTTTGGCAGCTCTGTAACTAAATAGCCCTGCTATATCAAGATGTCTTTTTACAGTATTTTCTGAAACTTTTAGTTCTAATTCATTATTTACATCTCGAGCAGTAGCAAAAGAATGCTTTTTCACAAATCTCACTAATTTATGATCAGTAACTTTTGATGTTTTGGGGGGACAACCCCCGTTGTGCCTTGTTTCGATAGTGCCTCTGACTTTGTTTCTGCTGATCCATCAGTTGATCACTGATTTTTCCACATTATACTTGACAGATAGTTCATGTTGTTGAACTCCATCACTAAAATCAGCAATTACTTTTTGCTTAAATAAGGTACTATGTTTATTTTTTGCCATTATTTAATCCTAAAATGTTAGAATTATATATCGAAGTTTATTGTTACAACAAAATTAAATTTTAATAATAAAGTTGCACTTTCAAAACAAAATAACTAATAAAAAAAAAGAAGTTTATCTACTACTGTGATCAAAAAGTAAGGTGAATTTTTTTATAAAAATCTTTATTTATTCTTCCAAATCTGTATCATCCCCCTCAAAATAATCCCCCCCGGCCCCAATGCACTTTTGCCAACGTTTTTCCAGTCTTCGAAGCATGCCGAAAAGTCCTCAGTAGGGATAGCCTTCAATGCGCGTGCCGATTCACGTTGGATCTCTTCAATGGACACAAAACGATTTCCCCGGAGTGGTCTCTTGAGCTTTGGGAACAGCCAGAAGTCACACAGTGCTAAGTCGGGCGAATATGGTGGTTGTGGAGCAACATAGGTAGAGTTTTTGGCGAAAAAGAACCAGTACTGTGTGCGAAGGCGCATTATCGTAGTGCAAAATCCAAGAGTTATTGGCCCTTAATTCCGGTCTCTTTTTGCAAATAGCTTCACGCAAACGTCGCATAACACTTAAATAATATTCCTTGTTGACAGTTTGGCCAGTTGGAAGGAATTTGTAGTGCACGACACCACAATAATCAAAGAAAACAGTCAACATGACCTTGATTTTTGAGCGACTTTGACGTGGTTGCTTCGGTCTTGGCTCGCCTTTTTTACGATATTCACTCGATTGGTCGGTTGTTTCAGGGTCGTATGCGTAGACCCAAGTCTCATCGTCAGTAATAATTTGTTTGTAGACGTCTTGATAGTCAGAAAACATTGCTTCACACGCTTTAACGTGACGCTCTTTTTCAAAGAAATTGAGAAATTTCGGCACCAAACGTGATTTGAGTCTTCTGAGGCCCAAATGATCCTTCAAAATCGCTTGCACCGACCCAAATGATATTCCAACCATGTCAACAAGGTCTCGAATGGTTAACCGACAATTCGCAAGCACCAATTCTTTGATTTTGTTGATGTGGCGATCATTAATCGAAGTCGATGGTCGTCCGGAGCGTTCCAAGTCATCAACACGTTCTCGGCCTTCTTTGAAGTCTTTGTACCACTTGTAAACATTTTTTTGAGACATAGTCTCTTCACCGAAGGCCTTTTGCAACATTCGATACGTTTCAGCAGCAGAAATATCATTCCGCAAACAAAATTTAATAGCACTTCTTTGCTCAACAAAATTAGACATCGTGAAAATCGCCGAATGCACTTTTGGTACTTCAGAAACAAGCGTAAACAAAAAAAAATAATTATGAGTTTGACATGTAATTTGGCGCAAATGTTAATGACATTCCTACCAACTTAAAAATAAAAAAGATTGGACGATTCGAATTAGGCGGGAAGTTTAAATTAAAAATTCACCTTACTTTTTGATCACAGTAGTACTTAAAGTGATTTACTGAAATTAAATATATTTCTGTGGTTAATTTATTGTTTACTTTGGTTTTATTTTTAAAGTTGCTTTTATTTTGAAGTTTATTTAAATTTTTTAAATTACTAATACTAGTATTTTACACGCAATTTACTATACTTTTTTTGTGTTAAATATAAAATTATTTTAAGAATTTGTTTTAATTGTATTAATAAGTATGATTTTGCAAAGTTAAATGAAAAAATAACATAATTTGTATCTATAAATAAAGATTTTTCAATTTAGTCATGTTGTTTCCAAAGAAGTTGCTTAAGTTTTGGAAGTCACTGTATGTGTAATCATATTTGTATAATTTTATGATGATAATATCAACTAAGGTAAATAGTTTGTAGAAACCCCTTCATGGCAGAAGATTGTTCCAGATCAACTGTTTATAGTCATATCTGATCCTAAAAATCAGAAAAACTGTTCTAGATAAACAGGAAGTGGTTGAATACCTTTAACTAACAATCCGAAAAAACAGGAACTTTAAAAATATTTGATCACTAAATAAGGAGTCCACCCTGCAAAAATGTTTAACTGTAGCCACAAAATCATTGAGGTGTGTCCTACTCTTACTGAGGATTTGTGGGTAATTCTTTAACAAGAAGCATACTTAAATTGTTGGACTGTTGATAAATGCTTATCAACTAGAAACCAGGATTCAGTATTCTTTGAGAAAAATAATGTCAAGGTTATACTTAAATTAACTTTAACAACACGCAAAAACCTGACTGAATACACAAATGTCAAATATGTTGACGCTAAATACACTTGTTATAGAGATACTCTAAAATATATATTTTTTAACTTTCTGAGTGCTTGTAGTTTGTATGTATATTTTTTTCTTTTTGAATATTTTTTGAAATAAAGTTTTATAATAAAAACCAGTTGCATCAATTTTTTTTTAATGATAAACATTATTGTTATTATTATTACAACAAGTGTTAGCTGTGTTGTACCAATAAAAGTTAATGTCTCTATACTACAATAGTATATCTGAATACTTAATTTGCCAAGTTTTGCTCAATTTGCAAAGTTTTACTCTACTTGTTAAAAATGCTATCAAGCAAATAATTATAAAAACTTTTAAAAATATGCATGATAAAAAACATCATCAATAATATTTAAATTCAAAAAAAAAATTATTTATAGCCTAATCATTACAATTGATTTCAAAGTAAAGGGAACAGCATTTAAGCAGTAGAAACTTCAATAGTTATGCAATAAATTATGCGAAATCCGAAGTTTTTTATTCAAAACCAATGACCCTCAATTTTAATTGGTCACCTTTTTCTTTACAGGATGCAAATAATTAATAAATAAAAGGTTTCTTTCACGATTTAGTTGGTTTTCATGATTTAGCTTGCAGTAGAGCAATCTTTTACTAAAACAGTGTTATCCATCACACTTTTAATAAAAAAAGACAAAAAAAAAGGAGGGGAGGGGCTGGCTTGTGGAGCAAACTATATATAAATTCAAATGCAATTTTACCTTTCACTTTCATTGATGCTTTCATTCTGGCAAAACCAAGGTATTCAGAAAATTCTTTTTCATATACTTTTGAGAAAGATTCTTGGTAGCGCTAAAAAAAACAATATTAAAATTGAAATTAATTCTAAAAAAAAAATAGAAATCTAAAACAAACTATATAAGAAAAGAAAAAATTAAATTTAATTTTATACATTAAGGAAAAAAAAATTCAAAATCAATTGTATACATTAAAAAGAAAAAATAATCAAAAACAAATAAAATCAGTTATATGCATAATGAAGAAAATATACTTAAAAAATTCATTTTTTAAATTAACAACTATTACCGTTTTAATTTCTATATATTTTTCATTATCAAGATCCTTCAACCATTTCATAAGTTCGACATATGGCTGGAAATCTTCATGTACAGATTCATGAGGCGGTAATGAAAGTTCGTTATTGGGTTTGTATGATGCTTGATCAACACTACTCTAAACCCATAATTTTTTTAGTTGAATAAAAATAATATATATAAAAATATATTTAATAGCATAAATGTAATAATTACTAAGGTTATATTTTAAAACAGATATATTCTGCTGACCAGATTTGCTCATCCTATATTATATATTTTTATATGTTTATATCCTTAAACATTTAAGTTCTTTTATTGTAATATAAATGATACTTATGCTTTATTTTCGAATCATTACAACTACATAAGAAATACGCTTGTACTGAAAATGATTTGTAAAAATAAAAACAAGCCTCTTTAGCTCAATGTAACATTTTATATTAAATGATTTAGTGTTGTGAGCCAAATTGTACAAAACATTTGTCAAACCTAACCTGGAATACACAATATGTGCATGGTCACCTTATACAATAAAAGATTATATAGAAAATACAAAGACAAGCTACAAAAGTACCAACCATATGTAAACATTTTTGTTATAAAGAAATTTGACATTTCAATAGATTGTTGCCTATAGTCATTTTAAGACTTGAATATGACCTATTTCCTACTGCACCTTAAACACTATTATTATAATTATTATTATTATAAAAAATACCTTAACATTTTTTAGTATCTAACATTCTATGAAACATTAGATGTTTAATTTCTCATGCACAAACTCTCTGAAATTTTTTAAATAAATAACATACATATTGTAAAATAAATTTTTCAAGATGATTGTAGAACCGTTGTGCAAACTGAGATTTTAACTTCATTACTTCTTTAAGCTGTTCTTGAACAGCAGTCAACTCTGTGATACCTAAAACAAAATTTTAGTTGTTAATATTAAATGTCCTACTACTTCAATTTAAGCATTGTCAACGTGTAAAAAAAAAATTTAATGGATATAATAAATGAAAAAATTTATCAAATAAAAAAATTCAACCAGGATTAAATGGTGTATGATATGCATCTAACAATATTTTTGCAGCAGAGATACACTCAGCAATTCCCAATGGGTTGTATAAATCTCCTTCTTGTAAAGAACGAATATGACGTTGTGAGATATCTAACCTACCCTGTAAATAATTTTCTTTTAAAAACTAGAAAATAAAGATATATATATATATATATATATATATATATATATATATATATATATATATATATATATATACACATATATATACGATGACGATGATGATGATGATGATGATGATTATGATGATGGATACATATATATGCACAAAAAATATATATATACAATTTTCACTGTACTAATGTAATTTGCTCTCTTAAATTTTAGAAATTCACATTTTGTTCCACATGAAAATAAAAAGATTATTTTTTGTAAAAATAAATGCCCTTAATACGCAGATCCTCAAGCCCTCAATGGATATATGTACTGAAGTTACTTGCCTATGGCTGTGTCAGGCTATGACATCATCAGTCATGCTTTATGATATAAACTATACATTTATTGGTATATTTATATATATACAAATATATATATATACATATACATATACATATATATATATATATATATATATATATATATATATATATATATATATATATATATATATATATATATATATATATATATATATTTATATATATCAGAGCCATATATATACATGCATATTATATTTACAATTAAATAAATTAAAATTAAAGTTAAATTGGGTTGTTAGCCTATTTTAAACATTTTTTTAAACAATCGCTTATAATTAATACTTAATTTAACGCTGCTGCTATTACCTATTCGTGCGCCTTTGGCACAGATTTTCTACCATATTTGGCCTTTTAATATTTATCTTTATATTTTTGATCACGCAATGAGGTATTCTTAAATCTTTATAATCTGTTAATATCTGCTCAATAAGTAATAAGATCGAAAACTTTGCTTCATCAGCTTAATTAGTAATAAGATCAAAAACGTTTTAATTTGGAGACTTCTGTAGTAATGGATAAACCTTATGTTATTTTTAAATTATAGTAACTTTTGAAGTCAGGAAATTTATTTGATTCATGCATTTTAATAATGCAATTTAAGTCCTTTGTCATTGTATTTAAAGTATATTATTCTGTAATTTTTATTTATTGAGACGTAACGTAATATAAAAAAAAAATCTGTAGTAGACGAAGATGACTCTAAAAGATTATGCTCTTTTCAAAGGTCAAAACGTCTAATTCTTTATAAAGTTGGTGTTTATCTCCTTAACCCTTGCACCTCACACGGTCAACTCTATGTTGCATGTTAAAGAACAAGATTGTTCAACATCTTATTTTAAAGAAAATCTGTTTACTTTTATAATATAAAAAACCAGGTCGTTTAATTGTTTTTTTTTTTAAAGTTGTTGAATATTTATTACGAAGTATGTCATTAAACATTACAAAAATGTTTTATTGTATAAATGTTTCTAATTTATATATTTTTCTTAATTTATATATTTAATTATATGTTATTTATGTTATAATTATGTGTTGTTTATTACGTGTTTGAATGTTTTTATTTTGTAAGTGTGTAAATATCTTTTATATATGAAGTGTTTCTATGTTTGCGATGTATTATGTTATGTGTTTATAGTTTGTAAGTGGTTATTATGTTGTTTGCATGGTTTCAAATTGCTATGACTTACAGCAAGAGTGTTGACCTTGCTAGCAAAGTGATGTACTTTGCTATAATGTGACTTTTTTGAGAGCAAGGATGTTGTCCGCGCCAGTTAAGTGGTGTACTGTCATACTAAAACATAAATTAAATCTGTTTGTAATTAGTGTAATCATAAAATGTGTAGAAAAATATTGTTGAAAAAATGTGTTTAAAAGAAATGTTAAAAAGATATATAGTTTTTTAATACTTATAATTTTTTTAATATTTATAATTTTAAATAAGTTTTGTTGAAAAAATATATAATCTGTTCCTTTTCCGTAAACTATTTGTATTTTGTTAATTTAAAAAAAAGTTGTTTTAAGATATATACTCTGTTCTTTTTTGTTAACAATTTATGCTTTTGACAATAAATAAATTTTATTTAAAAACAGGCTTCCTTTTTACTAATAGCTCCGCCCCATTTAAACATTTAAAAGTTTCTATTGAAAGAATTATGATTTTTTCAGTTTGCTTTATTTATGAGTGCTTATTAGGGTGTCCCAAAAACACACTTTTTTTAAAATTTCAATGTGCTCTCAACTGATCCCCATTCTATAGGTCCTAAATAGCTACCAAAATCTTTTTTTTAACTTTTTAATGACTAGAAGTGATAGATGTAAATTCTGAGTTTTATGGTTTTATACACATATGTGTATTTACTAAAAAACAGCGCTATCTAGTATTTCAATATTTTTTAATGATGTAATAATTAGTACACAAATAATTCCCATAGGATATTATTAAAGAATAGGATCATTCCCTATGAACATTGTTAGCGATTGATATTTTTCCCTCTGGACAATATTATTAGTTGGTATAATTCCCCATGGATTGGTTCACAAATAACTCCATTTAGAAATTTTTTTTGAAGGAAAAAATTTCTAAATGGAATTATTTGTGCACGACGGAATTCTAATTTGTGCACGAAGAAATTCTCGTGTAAACGGTTATAAAAGCCGTAACGGTAAACTTAGATAAAATATTTTACGAAAGGGAATAACGACTTCATGGATTTTTGATGCAAGTGTAACATTTAGTAAAAATTTAGTTAAAAAACTGATTATTTCGAAATTCATATAAAGATGGGTAGAACAGCTAAAAAAAAGAAGATGATAGGACAGAATAAGAAAAAACAGAAAAATACAGAAAGGTTGAGGTATATTTACCTATTGAAGTACCCACTGAGGGAGTTACCTCAAAGACAGCTTCCATCTAATGGTGATATTCTTAGATACTATCAATTTATCCTTCGCGAGTCACAAGTTAAATACAAACCCACTTCTACTAATGTTGGTTGCAAATTGAAATCGAAATCCAAGGTTTGTGAAAATGGTGTTTGTACAGATCCTGATAATTCTTGCTTGGTATCTAGGAATAAAAAAATTTGGGATAATGCTGGGTTTGGCAAGAAATTTGTGATTTGTAGGTACAATATAAAGACCAAAATCATTCAACTTAATTTAAAATACAAGAAATTGATTAAATTGTCTTCTCTAAACTGGAACAGCAGTCTTGATAAGCAATCAAAGTTAGAGAAAGATTTTCTCACAGAATCCTATCAGCTTTTTGACATCTCGACTAAGAATTTTAAAAAAGATATTCTTGCTGATAGATTGAGAACAGATGATGCCAAGCCGGAAGATATAAAGTAAGTTTATTAAATAACACTTTTTTTAGTAGTGAGATTTTTTTTCCAATTAAAAGTAACTTAAGTAATAGCATATTATTTCCTTTAAAATATTTACGTTTAACTCTTTACATGGTTTGGTCATCTTCCAAGAAAAACTAGAACAATTATTAATTTATTTATAAATAGCTTAACAGATTTAAATATTTCTTAGATTTTTATGAAGACCAGAAGTTACATAGGAAAGGATATATGGAAACAAAAGTCGATGAAGACTACAGTAGAAGAATACTGGATGCAAACAGGAGAAAGAACAAGCTAGATAAGTTGAGAGAGACAGAATTAGAGAGACAGAAAAACTTAAAAGATATCAATGATGTTTTGTTGTCACATGACTCCAAGACAGAAGAGATTCAATTCAGCAGTGAGGAAGAAAAGTCAAACGAGGACTCTGAAATCAGCGAGGAAGATGATTTCCTGGGTAACGGTCGAAAACGCAGGTATAGTATTATTTTAATAACATAGTTGTAATTTTCACAAGCTAAAACTGTTTTATTGAAAAATATATAATTATAAATAGGTAGAAAAATATTATAAAATGATACCTAGGTACAATTCTGGAGATAGGATAAATCTAGCAGTGAATGTTGAAAAGTTCATTGAATGTACTGCTATTCCAGCAACAAGGTTCAATGTTGGTGCACGACATCATCTGGCAATTTTAAGTGAAGTATTTAAAGCTGGAGGTATAGAAATTAATGATATACTACTTTCACGAAGCACTTTTCACAGAAAAAAGCTCAAATATGCAGAACTTGAAGGAGATTGGAGTGGATTTCAATAACTAATCATCTTAAAGGCCAACGGCTTATTCTTCATTTTGATGCCAAACTGTTGGAGCAAATTACCCCTGGGCTTAACATTTTTCAAAAAAATTGAGCAACTTGCAGTCTCAGTGAGTTCCCCGGAATGAAATACCATGGAAGATCATTTTTTAGGTGTTGTTCAATGTCCCTCTTCAAAGGGAGTTGACCAAGCAGAACAAGTGCACAAGCTTCTAGAATATTATGGATGTAAAGAGCAGATTATTGGTATATGCTGTGATACAACTGCAAGCAATACAGGCGGAGTAAATGGAGCAGTCCAAATTCTTACAGATATTTTGAAATTACCAATTTTGTGGATAATGTGTAGGAGACACATATATGAAGTACATGTATCTCACTATATGGCTGCCCTTACTGGTGAGAAAACTAAAGGTCCAAGAAGAGCTCTTTATGTCAAGCTAAAGAATAAGTGGCCTGAAATCTGTGAGAAAATGAATGAAGTGAAAAATTTATGTTATTATGAAAAATTGGACTGGCAAAGAGATGATCTGAAGATTGGCTCTGTTCTTTGCACTGTTGCAGAGGAAGCTAAGACATTTTTGACTAATGCAACTACTGATATAGTGTTCTCAAGGAATGATTATGGTATAGTTTCTAAGCTTGCCTCCTTCTTTCTTGGAGTGGAAGTACAAGATTTTAAGTTCCATCAACCTGGCGCCTGCCATGAGACAAGGTTTTTAGCAGATGCGATCTACATCCTGACTCTTTATATGACTAAAGATATCAGTAATATCTTGACAGAAAAAGAAATGCTGCAGTTGAAGGATGCAAGTTTGTTCATTGCAATTTGCTATGTTCCATGGTTTTCAAAAAGTATTTTAGGATTTCTGGCTCCCTACAATGATTTGAAAGCTATCCAGACAGCCTATGCATTGAGTAAAGTTAGTAAGAATATTGGAAATGCTTTGC